ACACTCGACCCTTATGGAGCACCAACAAATGCACACAGGAGAGAAGCCGTACGCCTGCCCCCACTGCAAAAAGACCTTCTGAAGGAGGTATCTTCTCTTCAGGCATCAGCAAGCCCTCCACAGCAGTGAGTACATGCAGGGGGTGTCTCATGAGATGGCCCCTGCCTTGGTGGGGCTGTGAGTGGGTGTCAGGGTTGAAGCCCAAGGAGAGGACTACACCACCACGGGGCCCCCAATTTCCCCATTCCCAGCCCCACCTTCCCCATTCCCAGCCCCAACTTCCACATTCCCAGCCCCAACTCTCCTCTCCAGCCCCAACCTCCCCATTCCCAGCCCCAAACCCCCCATTTCCAGCTCCAAACCCCATTTACAAACGCCATTTTCACCCCTGGATCTCAGGCAACCCTTCCTCATGGAGAGACCCCCCCCTGAGCCCAGCGGCCCCCGCACCCTTGTGAGCCCAGAGACCACCCCTGTGAGCCTAGAGAACCCCTGAGAGCCCAGAGACCCCCCCTTGTGAGCGAAGAGACTCACTGTGAGGTCAGAGAACCCCTCTGAGCCCTGTGACCCCCTCTCTGAGCCCAGAGATCCCCTGTGAGTGCAGTATTTTCCTCTAAGCCCAGAGACTCCCCCTGAAAGCCCAGTGATGTCCCTTGTGACCACAGAGACTTCCTGGAAGCCCAGAGAATCCCGGGTGACCATAGAGACCCCCCGCTGTGAGCCCAGAGACCCCTGCTGTGAGCCCAGAGATGCTCGTTGTGACCACGCCGGCCTCTGGAACATCAGCAGCACTGGCCTCCGTGACATCAGTAGCGCTGGCTCCAGTGACATCAGCAGCGTTGGCCTCAGTGACATCAGCAGCGCTCACCTCAGTGACATCAGCAGTGCCGGCCTCTGTGACATCAGCAGCGCCAACCGCAGTGACATCAGCAGCGCCGGCCTCTGCGACATCAGCAGCGCCGACCTCTGGAACACCAGCAGCGCTGGCGTCAGTGACATCAGCACCGCTGGCCTCGGTGACACCAGCAGCGCCATCCTCGGTGGCACCAGCAGCGCTGGCCTTGGTGACATCAGCAGCGCCGTCCTCAGTGACATCAGCAGCGCTGGCCTCGGTGACATCAGCAGCGCCGGCCTTGGTGACATCAGCAGCTCAAGCCTCAGTGAGATCAGCAGCGCCAGCCCCAGTGACATCAGCAGCACTGGCCTCTAGAATATCAGCAGCGCCGGCCTCAGTGACATCTGCAGCGCCAGCCTCGGTGACACCAGCAGCGCTGGCCTCTGTGACACCAGCAGCGCTGGCCTCGGTGACACCAGCAGCGCTGGCCTCGGTGACACCAGCAGCGCTGGCCTCGGTGACACCAGCAGCGCTGGCCTCGGTGACACCAGCAGCGCTGGCCTCGGTGACACCAGCAGCGCTGGCCTCGGTGACACCAGCAGCGCTGGGGCCTCGGTGACATCAGCAGCGCTGGCCTCATTGACATCAGCAGCGCCGGCCTCGGTGACATCAGCAGCTCAAGCCTCAGTGAGTTCAGCAGCGCCAGCCTCAGTGACATGAGCAGCGCCGCCCTCAGTCACATCAGCAGCGCTGTCCTCGGTGACATCAGCAGCGCTGGCCTCGGTGACATCAGCAGCGATGTCCTTGGTGACATCAGCAGCGCTGGCCTTGGTTACATTAGCAGCGCCCTCCTGCGTGTGCCCCAACTACTGGCAGGGATGCCCTCGGCCACCTGTCACCCCCTGAGGCAGCCACGGGGGTGCCCAGGAGCAGCAGGACCCCGAGCTAGGCAGGCCCAGCAGCTCTTCAGGACACGGCTGGGTGTGGACCTGGCGGGGTTGTGTTCACAGGTGGCCGCGATGATTTTAAACAACTTTCTTACCATCAATGATTCTCGGGACTTGCCGTGACGTCCTGTACAACCAGTTTGCCAGGCAAAAGTTAACTGCCCCCCCTGCCCTGTCAAGGAAACAATCCCACACAGGAACCATGAAGGACGAATCTTTGAACACGGCGGCTGCTCAGGGACCTGGGTTTGCGTTCAGACGCCCCGTTGGGCTCCTGCACAGGCCAGACCGGAGAGTTCAAGGGGGAGGGGGGGGGAGCAATGGTCCCTTTCTCCCGTAGCTCGGCTGCCTCCTTCCCCTGCGCCAAGGGGAGGGGTTGGGGTTCCCATCAGCAATCTAGGAGGGGGTGCAGGCTGGAGCAGATGCTCACAGGCAGTCACCACACCCAGCACCCACTCTCTTGCTTTTGAGCCCACCCAGCTCCAACAGAGCAAGTGCCAGTACCGGGGTCCTTCTAGTTCCTGCTGCCCTCTCGTCTCCCAGCAGCCAACACTGGCTCCCACGGG